GTTTCATGTCATCTCCCATGTCGGGATTCCAAAAGAAATCCTGACGGATCAGGGCACATCTTTTATGTCATGTACACTACGCGAGCTGTACGAATTGCTGGGCATCCATTCAATCCGGACTAGTGTTTACCACCCACAGACTGACAGACTGATGGAGCGGTTTAACAAGACACTAAAGAACATGATTCGTAAGTCCGTGCACAAGGATAGCCGTAAGTGAGATAAATGGTTAGACAGTTTGCAGTGTGGGAGTTTCCCCAGTCCTCCACGGACATTTTTTACCCCCAATTACAACTAAACTAACCTTAAGTGTTTTTTCTTTTCAGTACCCTCTTCACTGGATAAAAGTGTCCACCGGTAATTGAATGGTTGCATTCTGAAAGAGCATAACAAGTGTACAATTATTCTCAATCTGACCTCATATATATGAATTATAGCATTGTTGCACAATCTGATAATCAATTGTCATCGAACATCCTAATACTCCTAGACCTAAGCTATGCATTCGGCACATGCATCATGGAGATCATGGGACCCTACTGGAAATGATAAGAATCTGGGTGTGTCAATCAATGGCTGCAATTAATCGATTAATAATCCACTTCCACTCCAACAAAAAACAATTAGTGTGTGTGGCACTTTTAACTTTTACATGATTCCCCATGGCTTTATCATCAGCAAACATAACATCTCATTATCTGCTGATTACTTCAAACCCTAAACTAGTCAGCTGCTCTGAATAAATTAACCACTAGATGGCAGCAAACCTTATATAGCTTTATAATAGAGAAAAGGCTTAGATCATGGTTAATGGTTTGAAGCGCAGACACTAGGGCTGCACAATACATCAAAAATTTTGTATCATCGCAATATCAACATGCACGATATATGTATCGCAAAATACTGCTTGGACTGCAATAAATGGTATGCCATGTTCCATGCATTCACGCTCTGCTTGTCAATATATTTGGCCAAATAGATGGATCTCTGCTCCATCTAACTGGGTCTAACTGGGCTCCAACTGGGTGGCTGTGGCTGAGGGGGTAGAGCGGTCGTCCTCCAACCAGAAGGTCAGAAGTTTGATCCCCAGTCTTCCAATCTGCATGCCAAAGTGTCCTTGGGCAAGATACTGAACCCCAAACTGCCTAATAGAACAACAAAAAGTGCTAGCTATAGAAGCACTCTGTGTATGAATGTGTGTGTGAATGGGTGAATGGAAAACTGTTGTGTAAAGCGCTTTGAGTGGTCTTCAAGACTAGAAAAGTGCTATATAAATACAACCATTTACCATTTTACCATTTAGAAGCGGTTGGTTGGATGGTGGGGGTTTGGTGAGTGGAGGGACGTTGGTCACTTCAACCTCAATTGGACAAAAACATGGTAACGTTTTATGGCACATACTTGCAAATTCATCAATTGCAATATATTAATAAAATATATCCATACAAATGTATTTTATCTATGCTTTATTAAAAGTAAAGTGTGATATTTATGAGTTTTTGCAGTAGACTGAGCTATATATTCAAATTATCACAAATTAGACTTACGTTGTATTAGCACCTTAAATAGAGCCGTCATCCGATCAAGACATTAGTCAGCCTGACCAGACAGCTGCCATTGGGGGTGCAGGACATGGATAAACCAGGTGGCAGGCTTTTTTCCTGGTTTAGCATGTAGGATTTTTGCCCTGTGCCCCAAAGTGTGCAACTTTTCAAGCTAAAAAAAGAAACAGTCGATAAAAAAAGTCATACAGAAATATCACAAGCCTTACTTTTGTGAACTTCAACTACAGACGTTAAAAACTTACCAAAACAGATGCCTCATCCATAACATGTGAGGTGTTTTTTTTCTTTTTGGTTTTCCAACCAGCCCTCTTTTTTTGCTTCAAAAATCTTAAGTTTTTTTGCCAGTCTTTGCTTGGCTGGGCTGCACTGCCTTGCAAGACTTGCAGGTCTTGGTAGCCACAGCAATCATGGCTTTGCAGCCAACGCATGTTGTTGTTGTATATCCTCTTTGCATTTTAAATCTGGAAGAAAAAGACATAAACAACCAAACTGACAAAATAACTCAATTAGTTTAACTATTGTGTTTATTTTTCATTTTCAGTTTATGATCTTCAGTAAAATATAATTTCTGTCTTTCCCTTTATAATCACACAAACACATACACACAATAATTTCTCAGGACACACATACACACTATACTCTGGCATTCATATCGACACACCCACACCATTTAAGTTGCATACATTTATTCCTTTGTATTTGCTCATAGGTCAAAAATGGCTTAATCTGATGGAAAATATATGGATATAAACTGAATAATTACAAATACAAGATTTTATGTTGTAATAGGTTTCAATGGGGAGTGTAGCAATGTGTATTATATACATTATGGAAGCTGAGGCTGAAATCACATATTTACAAAGAAAAATAACTACCTTTGGGTTATCAGAGGAACTCAGGTGACCATAACGTGCCCTCTGCTAGCTACATACACTGTATATACAATGCTCAATCTCAGTCACACCAAGCTGAAATGTTAGCAGCCAATATATATGTCTGCCCCCTACTCTGGTTCTGACCTAACCCTTACTCTGACCAATCACATATCTTTCCTAAACATTGATTTTTGACTGTATAGCTCTGGTGCCAATTAGGACTAGTAGCCAATCAGAGGGAGAGTAGTGCGGGCGATGACTTCCTCATGCAACACATGTCTCTCCACCACCACCAGCCCCCCTCCAGCCACCCCCACCCACTGTTGTACATACTTTTTGGACTGCTAATTAATCAACTTACAACAATATTTATACTTGTGTCCACATATTATGTCCATATACTTACACCAATACTATTTTTGACTACTGAACATTCTTAATGTTCTCATTCTGTATGTATCTTAATGTTTTCATTTCCTACTTTCACAACTGTCATTGACTTTGTATAAATCTATGGTATATATATCTAAATATATACACATATCAGCATTTAAATTTGGGCAAGTTTAGACCTAATTTTCCTTGCGAACCACTTCATATCCCCATTTTCCCTTCGATTTTTAACATTGTGGCTCCCTTCCCCTAGGCCCCCATGCAGCATGGTCCTCGATTGTCAGTAATACAGTATGCAGTACCTAGCGGGTGCATGATTTTAAGATAAGATGTCACATTATGTCTCTTGAGCTCATGGAAATGACCTTCACCTTCAACCTATTGTCACCTGCATAAGTACTTTGTTGAGGGAAACATAATACAAACATAAATATGAAAAAAATAACAAACTAAATTAATGTAATCTCTGGATGTGATTGAAGGTTTTGAGTTGTGGTGTGGGACAGCCTCACATTTGGATGAAGACCAATTCATAACATATTTGCTTATACTGGAGATCTTTTAAATTTATTTCACAGAAATGATTTGTGATCATTCATTGTAATATCAATTTGGTTAAAGCCAGACTGCTGCTTACCAGCTACTAATTTAACAAACAGATGGGAGAGTGATGGGAGACTCAAATATAGGTGGCAGAATTGATTGTGTGAAGTTATGCAGGTATGCGTACCTGGGGCTATGATCATTTAAGCAGTGCTGAAATAGTAAACACCTATGTATTGATTTATGTGGAAAGAAACAAAGCAAAGCTGTTTCTCATACGACCTTTATAAGATTACATTGTGAAACAGCTGGGCGGCATAATTTTAGTGTAACCAAGAGGATGGACTGACTAATGAATGAATTTAGCACTGATATGCAAGCTTGATGTTACATGAAACAATGATATGGTCACCACTTGGACAACCAGAGCTTTGGGCCTCGCTATAACTAAATAACTGAAACCTCAGATCAGGAGAAAGTTATTCTGTTATGGTTGTTTCAGTAACTGAGGTACTCTCCACAGAATGTAGTGTACCCTTATATTTCAAATATATTTGATTTGCTTCCACTGCATAGATGTTATGCATCTTAACTTAGCCAATAACATGGTGTAGGAGTGCAAGGAAAACTCACAATATGTTATATTAAATGTAATTTATTATGCACAAAAAATGACAGTAAGGTAGTTGCTTGAAATTATATGAACAATGGTAATGCAGAGTACAAAAATAGTGGAGCAAAATAAAAATGAAAATCTGGGGCATATGAAATAATTCAGTTAGAGCACTTTAAGATACTCAGACACTTTATAAAGGTTAATACAACTATAAAAACACAGCTGCAGTTCCCCCAGTTTGTGTGCGTGGTCCCAAGTGATGGAGACAGGAGGTTAGCATCAGGAGTGTGGTGGGGGAGCACAGTGGTACAGCTTCACTTGAGAAGAACTGAAGGACACACAC